ATATATATATATATATATATATACATGTATATATATATATTATTTATTTATATATTAAAAAGATAACACTATACCAAGTAAGTGAGCGACATCGTTCTTTTCTACCAAAACTTTTTCGGCTATACCCTCACTTCCGAATGGCAAATCACAATTATCCTCAAAATTTTGCTTTAGAAAGAACTAGAACAAGTATTATGGTAAAATAAACAGTAGGAAGCCAGATAAATTTAACAGAAGATAGTGTGTAAATATGGCAAACTGGAAACGAACGATCATTTGCAAGTACGTTGCTTTCTACTTCACTATTACAATTATTCTCATTTTTTTGTGTTGTTTAACAAGTATCCATGTGATTAACACATCTTATAGTGATGTACTTTGAAGTGATTCTTAAACGCAGGTCAAATAAGCGCCTTTCAGAATAGTCTGTTACTATGATCAGGTACTTCGAAAAATCAAAACTTTTCTTTAAATGATATTACTTCCCGAAATACTCGTAACCTGCTCTAGATCAAAACCAAAACTCTCCAAAATAACCAGTTAGCAAAAGACCAAAGGCTGTTAGTCAATACAGTTTTAAAAAATTACGCTAAAGCTAGAAGAAGAAAAACAAAAAATTGGATAACAAACAGAATAACTGGTGTGAATTTTGGTTTCAAACTGAGAAATTGAGAAAGATGAGGGAGCGAGCAGAAAATAAAGTAAACGGTGGTCAGAGACACGCTCGTTTACACCTTAATCGCTCAACGAATAAATGCTTCGACTTTATTACTGACTATTTGCCGCAGAATTTTTCCCAGAGACCTGTTTACCGAGACTAGTGTCTCTGTTGCTTCTCTGAAATTTGAATTTCTTTGAGAAGCTATTCTCCTACCCCTGAATAACACTGCCTTAATTTTTCATAAAAGCCACCCAAAAAAGTTTCAGGCTTGTAATTATACGGCTCATAGAAGATTCAGGAAGGTGAAACAGAAGAAGGGGTAGACTTGTCCTGCCCTGTCATAAAGTATACTAGAAGTCCGGGTAAAGCCAGCATTATCTTTGCAACTTTCGGAAACTTCTACGATTCAGACTGGACTGAAAAGGATGTTCTACCGACAACCAAGCAAAAAATTTTGAGGAAGTTATAAGGATAATTTTTAACTGATTTGTAGCTGTAGAAATTTTTCAAAGAAAGTTGACATTAATTTTGTGGCACCTTAGCGGTTGCCAAAAACCAAGCAAACAACCTTTTCAGATCGAATTGCTTCTTCGTCTGAAATTAGCCACTGTAGCACAGTTTTGCAATCCCGAATGGCCCCACTTATTTCGACTGTAGATAAAGAGACTGAAACTGATTCTTCACAAATTGATTCCTATAATATTTTCACAGTGAGGCTTGTAACTTACTATATGAAACAGTGAAACGTGAAACCTAATAAAAAACAAAAACAGTAACAAAAACAACAAATTAATGATTACCAGATTGTGAGCTTCATCAAATATGACAATATTGCCTTTCAATTCAATGTTGTACCTAACCCTCAAACGAGGATCGACAACATAATTGTACGGCAGAAGAATTAGTTCAGCGGTCTCAAACGCCGATCTCGTTCGATAAAATGGACAAATGCTTAAAACTGACTTTTGCCACATTCCACAGGGTAATATGAAGGGTATGAAAATGTGAAATGTTTGGAAGAATAAGAAAGTAATTATTTTCAAAACTTTTTAGAGTCACTTAATTTATTTAAAAACTTGACAAACAACTGCTGAAATAGAAACCTGTGCCGTTTCGAAACGCTTATAAGATCTTCGATGTCGGGGACTAAACCATCCTCTGTGTAAAGCATATCTAACTGACTATGATCCAGTTCTAAAAAAATTGATACCTCTAGAATCACTTCTAATTGCTTCGGTATTAATAACAAAATTAATTTCTTTCTTGCTA